GTCTGCTATGGTTCAGCTTCAAGCCTCCATGGTTCCTCCCGGACTCATGGCTTTTATTTCAAGCCTCCAGGACTTACCCGGATCTATGACTCTTATACACTGAAAAACTATTACTTCTTATACTAGCTGAAAGGCTCTTGCCAACTCAAGTGAGGTAACCTCTAGAGTTATAACTTAACTTAAAACTCACATAGTTCAAGCAATGGAAAGTCCACTGCTTTATCTATGTGTTGCAATCTATCAACGCGATAATCTAACTTTTGCAAGTGTCAAATTATAGAAATAACTTGCTCTTTGCTTACATTAGAAATGCACTGAAATTTTGGTCTCAACTTGAATTTTTAACGGAGTTTCAAAAGCATGGAGAAATTCCCACAACAAAAGTATTGCGGGTTCACGGAATAGAGATAATTAAACTACACGCATCTTCTTAAGTCTTCTGGACTTCTGCTTCTAGTGGTGATGAGTGTAGGCGCTGGCATTTTCTCCTCCTTGTTGATCCTGGGTCAGCTATTGCTTGTTGGGTTTTGCCATTTCTGGCAAAATTCATTGAAATGTAGACTTTACTCCATCTTAACCCTAAAGTTCAAAATTGGTCTTATAGCTCTAATATATTGCCATGGTTATCCTCGATACGTAGTAAAAGGTACTTGCCCCTAACGTAATCGAGACTTTTTCTAAAGTTATATTCCGCTCTGCCCTCAAAAAGTCGGCGATAGAGCGTACAAATAATTGACTCTGCTGAAATTCTGACTAAAGCAGTATAGTCGATTAATAAATAGCTACACTATACTTTAATAATTTATTGAATTCCGAAAACATCTAGCTTGGCTAGAGTTCCGGTTACACTAAAATCTTCTAAGTTCTTACTAGACTTCTGACTAGAATTCTCAAATCTTAATTGAAGGATAGATCTAACGCCCCTGAAATAATCTGACTATAATTAAATATGCATTCGCAAATAAAAGCTGTACAGGTGACGTACCTCGAAGTCGGCGTGGCGTGAGCGTGGTGTGGTCATATCTCACTGAAATTTTTGTATACAGAACCACTAAGTGGCTCTGATACCAACTGTAACACCCCGCCTAAACTTACTAAAATCAGAGTAAATATTTCGCGCTATAATTGGAAAGCACTGCTTTAATTTTCGAAAACTCTTATTAATATTTCGAAAATACTTTAACTTTAAAACATGGGGTGCTACTCAACTTTAATCTTATATCTTTATCTCTTAATCTATCATGCATGAGACTGTTGGGTTCGATATACCGTACGGAACAGAGTTTACAGCGGAATTTAAAATTTTATAAGTATTTATCTTATAAATACTTATTCCGTACATAAGTATAACGATATTACGAATAAGCATCATTTAAAATCTAGTAACTTTTACTAATTTTGATTTGATATATATATATATATATATAATTTATAAAATTACCTTTGTTCTTGAACTCCTTCAAAACCG